CAGCATTTTTTCTTTCAACAATGACATTGTGTTCAAGCACATCACTTTTAACTACTAAAAATTTATATGCTGCACTACTTTCAGTATACCCGATAAACATATAATCAGATATTTTAGACCCTACTTTTCTTAGGATCGGGTAACATAACTTTGGCAAGGCACCCCCACACTTTTACATATTTCAAATTAGAGGGATAGCTTTTCCACAACTCATAAGGAGTTTTACCTGTTTTCTTATAGGGAATCTTATTTTGTAAATGACGGGCAGATAATATGGCTTCATCCTAAAGATTATCCAGAGCACCAGAACTAACAAGCATACTATTTATCATTTCCTTTAAGGTCCTATTTTTCCTTTATGTTACACCATTTGATTGTGGAGAATATGGCGGAGTTATCTCGTGTATTATACCTTCTTTCTCACAATAATCATTCAACAAAATAAATTCACCACCTCTATCAGATCTAATCCTTTGATTTTCTTATCCAATTGATTATCTATTTCAAATTTATAAATTAAAAACTTATCAAAAGCTTCATCTTTATTTCTCAACAAATAAACTTACGTATATCTAAAAAAATCGTCTATAAAAGTCACATAATATTTTTTTCCTCCTCTAGCCATAGTTTATTTTAAGTCTTCTAAATCAGTATGGATTAAAGTATGAATATTAATAAAAAAATTATTTATAATATTATAATAATGGCTATTAATTATGGATAGTAAATGATAATGAATATGTTATATTTTATTTTTGAGATATAAGAAGTATCTTCTAACAAAAAACTGCAGTTTTGTATGTGGAGAATTTTTTTTGAAAACTTGAAAAAGTGGTCTTTTAAAAAACTCATTATTTGAAAATTCTCAAAAAAACTTAAATAATTTCATGGACAAACACGTTTTCTAAAAAAATCCGAAAAAAGAAAAATAATTAATTTAGGGACAAACGGGTCCATAATTTAAGCACCTTATTTTTCCTAAAGAACATTACACGAACATTGTCCAAGCGGTGAGAAACGAAAATTAAATAGAAATTACCATAAATGAGTTCACTTCACCAAAACTAAGCTTCCGTTTGGGTAGGGCTGTTCAAAATCGCACCGTAATCGTTAATCGAATCGAACCGCTGGCTTATTAGTATCGGGTTATCGGGGTAATGGTTAGTGAACATATTGAGATTTTATAATTAACGGCGTAACAATTTGGGATAAATTTCACTCAGTTTTCTTATTCGATAAATCGTTAACCCGTTAAGATTTTTTATATTAACACTTTTATATGGGATCAATAAAAGTTACATGAATATTATCAATAAATAAATCTGAAAAATGCCTTCAAGTTTTCGGTCAAGTTCTGTAGGTGTAGGGGATTCCGATTGTATATAAGTTTTCAGTCAATTCGACCAGTTTACTGTCTATATATATATATATATATATATATATATATATATATATATATATATATATAAAAAACAGGATAGCTATGCAACCAAAAAAAATACTTATAATAAGTGCAGTTCAAATTACAAACTGTTAATAGATTCAATCATGTAGCAACAGATGTTAGCAAGGCTGGTAAACTAAAAGGGGATGGAACTTATAGTCGAGTCACTTTATCAGGTTTGGCCATTTGGTATTCACAAGACTAGGATTGTTCAAAAAAATTCTATTTGATTTAGCCGATAAATCGCCCGATAATCGACCATTAATAATTAATTTGATACCAATTCGCCCGTTATCTTATTGGATGGCTAGCAGATTACTACATTTATAATCCGATAAACCAAACCGTTAAGCTTAATTATCAACCCGATCCACCCAATAAACACCCCTACGTTTGGGCATAGATTTTGGCTTCAGTTTTTCAAAAAGAAAAAATTAACAATATTATTTATTTATGAAATATGATCATGTTTCGGAAAAAAAAAATTCAAAAATTTCCAAGTTTCCAAAACTAAACCAGTTTTTTGGGTGAAATTTTTCTTCCACTCATAAAATTTCAACTTTTTCTCAAATAAAATACATGTCCAAACACAATTCACCTTTCAAAAATTATTTTTTAACACAACTTCAAAACTCTTTTTACAAGTTTCAATCAAATATTTGTCCAAACGTTAGCTAAAAGTCTCGGAGTTGAGAAGATTCCCTTTTAAATGAACGTTACAAAATTTAAATGAGAAAATACATAAAGACCCCATTCAACTTGTCACGAAAAATCATTTACAAACCTAAACTTTACGGGTGTCCTAACACCTTACTATTGTTACAATAATTGTATTTATTTACTCCCTCCAAAGCCCTAGCCAGTCGCGCATCTTAGACAACGCAATTGAGCGCGTCTTTGCTCTCTTTTAATCCTTAAAAACTCCCGAAAAAAAAAGAATTTTTTTAACTTCAATCTAACCCCCAACCAATGGTAAAATCCATTCTTCCCCAATATTTTACCAAACCCATGAACCCTAATTTCTTCTTCATCTAAATTCTGTCAAAATTGCATCAAATTGCTCTTTGAAGTTTTGGTCTTTGAAAGCAAAGGTTAATCTTTCTCCTCCAAACGTAATAATGTTTCACAGATAATTCAACTTCAATGTTGAGCTTGATTCTTCAAAGAACTTCGGCTTCGAACGGGTCTTCCTCCAACTCGTCAGGAACTCTAAATAACAATAAATCGCAGGATTTTGCAACCGGTCACTTCGATTTTGTTCAAGCAAATCGATTTTGGTGAGGCAAGAAGAATTTTCAATGGTTGGGCACTAGGGTTCTTCAATTTGGAAATTTTTAACTGATGGGGTGAATAAGACTCGTTTAGATACTGTTATATTTATTTACTAAACATTTTGAATTGAGAAAAAATCAAAGTTTGACCAGAATTAGCATAAAAAAGAGCTGATTTTTCAGGAAAAGATGAAATATTTCTGAAGAGAAAAGAGACCATAGAAAGATTTTGATTTTTTGGAAGAAATAGAGGAGGTCTAAGTGAAATTCCATCACGCCGGTAACCAGATTTTTCCATTGAATTGAACACTGTTTTTATTTTATTTTTATGTAATTATTTTTTTTGAATTTTCAGCGGGGACTGAATTGGTATTTGGTATTCTTGAATTGAGGAGAAAAGATAGGAAGATGACAAGGAAATATATAACGTGCTATGAAGATTAGATAGAGGAAAGATAGTTTGTTGAATGCCGTCCATGTTAATTACGTGGCTTATTAGTAAAGCGCTTGTTTCCCACTCAAATTAATATAGATGGCTAGGGTTTAGGAGGGAGTAAATAAATACAACAGAAAAGGGCCAAAACTATCCCTATCGTTTGCTAAATGGTTTATAAATACTCTCCGTCCATTTATCCGTTCAAATAATACACCCCGTCCATCTATCCGTCCAAAAAAATACACGATGTTAATTCTATTAACAAAAATACCCCCGCGACTAATGACAGAACTGGTGGGTCTTTCATTTAATGACGTGACGAATTTTAATTGGGCCACGTGGCAATCTTTGACCAGGAATCAAATATGGGTCTTATTTTTACCCATTTACCTGGTCCGACCCTATTTATTTGACCCGCCTAATTATTTTCTTTCTTTACTTTTTTTTTCCCTCTCTTTTTCCTTATCACCCAGCACATCCACTCTCACCCACTCTCATCTCACAAAGAATTTCATTCTACTATATTACAGAAACAATGAGCGGCAGTACTATTTGGAGGAAGATGGCTTTGAGTAACAGGTCGTAAAAAAATACAGAAAGTATTGCGTAAAGATTACAATAAAAAAGTTATTATAGATAACCGATTTGAAGAGACCGTTGAATCTGATAAGAATATGGGCTACTGCTAAGTCTTGTGTTGAATGAAGGGGTATTATTACTTTTAGCCCGCTCCAAAAACTATTTATATCTGGTAGTCAAAAAAGTATATATTTTTTTTACTATTATTTTTACAGCGATAATACAATGTCATTTTCCTTGAATGAATCACGTAAAACAGATTTGCGGCACATTTGCTAGTACCTCTCTTTCATTTATGTTCAATGTTTGGTAAATGTAGGAATTTTATTTCCTAACGATGACAAGCAGACCATTTGGAGCATATTTTAATTTGGTTTTAGTATTTACATCTTACAACACTTTCTTATACCACTGTATATAAAATATGCTTCCGGTGAATTTGACCTATTGGAAATGTGTTTGTCCACTTCTTCTGAATAAATTTAATTCTGTCATTTAATTTATACTTAAAATGAATTTCAAAAAAATATCTTCTGCTGGTTGTATTTTGAACGATGATGTGACAAAAGGAAACTAAGGTACTGCTTGACAAAACGCTAACCTATATCTAGTAAGAGCAAGTCTTTTGTCTTTTAATCTAATTTTCTTAAAGAGAAACATGAATCTTTGTGGTCGGGCAGGTAAATCGGTAAAAATAAGACCCATATTTGATTTTTGATCATAGATTGCCACGTGGTCCAATTAAAAATCGTCACATCATTAAATGAAAGACCCACCAGTTCTACCGTTAGTCGAGGGGTATTTTTTTTTTTTTAAAAGAATTAACGTCGTGTGTTTTTTTGAACGGATAGATGGACGACGTGTATTTTTTTGAACGAATAGATGGACGGAGGGTATTTATAAACCATTTAGCAAACGATTGGGATAGTTTTGGTCCTTTTCCGTAAATACAATTATTTTAACAATAGTTAGGATATCCGTAAAGTATAGCTGTGTAAATGATTTTTCAGGACAAGTTGAATGAGGTTTTTATGCATTGTCTCAAATTAAATTAGTCAAACCAATGAGTTGATGGTAAAAGAAAAAAAAAAAAAAAAAAGGTTCCCCCTTCCCAAGTTTTGGAAATATCTTCCCTCTCTTATGTTCTATTCCTGGCCGGCAGTATATATATATATATATATATATATATATATATATATATATATATATATATATATATATATATATATATATATATATATTTCAGCTGTTAGTTAAAACTTAAAATTGTTCATTTTCTTGTTAACCTGTAACACAAGGAAATATGATGCTTCAGACATGCACTTCCATGGAGATTGGACAAGGAGCAACAACAACCTATGAAACTCTCCACAACTCACTTCAAGCTCAACCTATTTCTTCACAGAGTAAGCCTCAAAACCTTAATTCTCATTTCAATTCTAGGGTTTTTCTAGGGTTTAACCTACACGCTACCAAACACTGTTTTGTCAGAAGACAAAGCTTAAAATTTCAACCTACATCCGAAATTGACCACCCTTTACACAGAAATGTAAAGATTTTGCAACTCCAGAAGCAAAAACCTCAAAAAGATAGGGTTTTTGTAGGGTTTAAGCTTCAGTGTCATTCAAAGGCTGAAGCTTTACCTTTAAAAACGGTTATTAACGGTAAAAGAAAGGGGTATGGAGGTATTTTACCTTCAATTTTGCGTTCTTTAAGAACAGAAAGTGATGTTGAGAAAACACTTGATTTGTATTATGGGAAGCTTAGTCCTAAAGAGCAGACCGTGATTCTCAAAGAACAGAGCAATTGGGAAAAAGCTCTTAGGGTATTTGCGTGGATGAAATCGCAGAAAGATTATGTTCCGAATGTAATTCACTATAATGTCATACTTAGGGCACTTGGTAGAGCTAAGAAATGGGATGAGTTGAGACTTTGTTGGATTGAAATGGCAAAGAATAGTGTTTTCCCGACAAATAATACCTACGGAATGCTTGTTGATGTGTACGGGAAAGCAGGGCTGGTAAAGGAGGCTCTTTTATGGATTAAACATATGAAGTTGAGGGGAATTTTCCCAGATGAGGTTACAATGAATACGGTTGTTAAAGTTTTGAAGGATGCAGGAGAATATGATAGAGCAGATAGGTTCTATAAAGATTGGTGTATTGGAAAGATTGAATTGGATGATCTTGAGTTGGATTCTATGGACGACTCTGAACCTTTTAGTTTGAAGCAGTTTTTGTTGACCGAGCTTTTCAGGACTGGAGGGAGGAATCCTTCTAGATTTTTAAGTCTTTCAGAAGTTGAGAACACTTGTAAGAAACCTCGAATGACTGCCACCTACAATACTCTGATTGATTTGTATGGGAAGGCTGGTCGGTTGAAGGATGCTGCAAATGTATTCAATGAGATGTTGAAATCAGGGGTGGCATTGGACGCCATTACCTTCAATACTATGATCTTTATTTGCGGAAGTCATGGTCACTTGGAAGAGGCGGAAGCTTTGCTGAACAAGATGGAGGAAAGAGGGATATCTCCTGACACTAAAACATACAACATCTTCCTGTCTCTTTATGCTAATGCGGGTAAGATTGATAGGGCTATTGAGTGGTACAGAAAGATAAGGGGGACAGGACTCTTCCCTGATGCTGTGACTTGTAGGGCAATACTTCAAATACTGTGCAAACAAAATATGATCCAGGAGGTTGAAGGTGTGATTAGTGAAATTGAAAGTTTAGGTATGTATATAGATGAACACTCTCTTCCTGTCATTATGAGAATGTACATCAATGAAGGGTTGATTGACCGCGCGAAGGTGCTTTTTGACAAGTGCCAACTGAATGGTGGGTTCTCGTCACCCGCTTATGCTGCCATCATTGATGCATATGCCGATAAGGGACTCTGGACTGAAGCAGAGGATGTGTTCTTTGGTAGGAGAGACAATAAGTTTATTCCAAAGAAAGAAGTTGTAGAGTATAATGTCATGATCAAAGCATATGGCATCGCAAAGCTGTATGATAAAGCTTTCTCACTCTTCAAAGGAATGAAAAGCCAAGGGGCATGGCCAGACGAGTGCACTTATAACTCTCTAATCCAAATGTTCTCTGGGGGTGATTTAGTTGACCAAGCCAGAGAGCTCTTAGCCGAAATGCAAGGATTGAGATTTAAACCTTCATGTTCTACCTTCTCTGCACTAATTGCTAGTTATGTGCGCATGAGTAGGATTTCTGATGCTGTTGACGTCTTTGATGGAATGTCGAAAGCAGGTGTAAAACCAAATGAGGTTGTTTATGGAACTTTAATTGATGGGATTGCTGAAGCCGGTAAATTTGAAGAAGCTATGCGTTATTTCCATGTCATGAAAGACTCTGGGCTTCAAGCTAATCAAATAATATTGACTTCAATGATTAAGGCTTATGGTAAGCTAGGGTCGGTAGAGGGAGCAAAAGCACTGTATGAGCAGATAAAAAACTTGCATGGAGGTCCCGATATCATTGCATCCAACAGTATGCTCAATCTGTATGCGGACTTTGGAATGGTGTCTGAAGCAAAATTGATATTTAATTATTTGAGGGAGAGAGGCCAGGCTGATGGTGTGACTTTTGCAACTTTGATTTATGCGTACAAGAACATGGGTATGCTCGATGAAGCGATTGAGATAGCAGAGGAGATGATACAGTCTGGACTTTTAAGAGATTGTGTGACATTCAATAAGGTAATGGCATGCTATGCCACAAACGGACAGCTTGTTGAATGCGCCGAACTGCTGCACGAAATGATTACTAACAGGAAACTTCTGCCAGATGGAGGCACATTTAAAGTTTTATTCACAATATTGAAAAAGGGAGGTTTTTCGGCGGAGGCAGTTAGACAGCTTGAGTTGTCTTACCGAGAAGGTAAATCTTATGCCAGACAAGCTGTGATTATTGCTGTTTTCTCTGCAGTTGGCTTGCACACATTTGCAATTGAATCCTGCAATGTCATCACACAACCAGGATTGGGGCTTCATCCCTTTGCTTACAATGTTGCAATTTATGCATATGGAGCTTCGGGGCAGATTGATGAAGCACTAAAAATATTCATGAGAATGCAAGATGAAGGACTGGAACCAGATATCGTCACATTTGTTAATCTTGTGGGTTGCTATGGGAAAGCTGGCATGGTTGAAGGTATAAAGCGGATATATGGCCAGTTAAAATATGGACTAATTGAGCCCAATGAGTCATTATATGAGGCAATCATAGACGCCTATGGAAATGCAGGTAGGTTTGACCTTGCTGATTTGGTTAGTCAGGAAATGAAACTAAATTTAGATGTGAAGCAGCTTACAGACTCTGCTGAAGAGGGTGTGGATGAAGATTTTCAAGGTGGTGAAGGTGAAGAATCTGAAGGTTGATAAAACCATCAACTCTAAGCAGAACATCGTGCTTAGTAGCATTCACGACTTATTTATGTAATTTGAGTTGACTAGCTTCTGTTGGTCAACTCTGTACATAGGAAATGTCCAAGTATATTTTCTCTTAAAACATGGTAGGCGAATGCCAATTGACAGCTATTGCAATACAGAGGACTTGCCTCTCTTGGTTCGTTGAGCTGTAAATTATGACGAAGTTGAAAAGGGAAGAAAAAGACTCTTTGGGGAAAGTTAGGTTTATGCGATAAGATCCATGTCTTTTGGATCATGTATAGGTGCCCAAAACTGTATATGGAACGAGGGTGCTTTTCTGGGGAAGTTTTCTTCCCTTCCCGAACTAAACAGTACACCACGGGCGCAGTTTACTTCATCAAACTAAGAAGTTTGCAGCACTTGTTAGCACATTGCAGTTTTTCCTCTCTGCAATCCTCCGGAATCAGACAGGTTACGCGGTGTAGCCCTCCAAGAGGTTGGCAGCAGTTTTGAACATGTATTTCTCTTGCTATTTAAGGTTGTGCTCGTAAGAGCTTGGACTTTGTTATAGTGTAGTGATAAAAGAGGTAATGGTTATGTATCCAATCAGGCCACTAGCTTTTGAATTTATGATAAGTGATTAGTAGTTCTATTTTAAACCTCAGAAAGAGGGAGTGTTTCCTCTTTGTTATGTTGAAATAGCAGAGTTAAATGAAAAATGAACATTAAAAAGCTAGTTTAAGTCCAGCTCTTCCCTGGCATCTCCCTTTTCTTGTATCTGCCCTCACCTCAACTCTCAAGGACATGGCCAACTGCTCTTTACACGTTTGTTAGAAGAAAATAACTCAAATTTTGATTGCATTATTTTCTTTGCGAAATGCTTCGAGGTGTACTTCTTAAAATAAGCTGATTTTGGCTGCTTTGACGGACAGATTCTTAGACTCATCAACTGACCAACATTTAGCACATATATCCACTGATTAAGCACTTTCAACAACCACATTCCCACAAAAGATACCAGTTACAACTTTAATTAGCATGAAATTTGTATAAATTAATTACCTAGAGGAGCAGCACATTTCCAAATGTAAACTGATTGGGGAACAAGCCAGGACTCCTATGCATTGAATAGAAAGAACCTCATAGCCTTTCCTTTCTGTTCCTCGTGTTAGCTGAAATAACAGTTGAATAATTTCCCATTCTTTGGAGGGTACAGAGCTGTAATACCGTCTCGAGAGCTGCTTCAACAACCAATAAGGTTTGTGGCAGAGTGGTATTTACTCGTTCATTCTTAATTAGAGGTCTTGAGTTCGAGCTTGAGTATGAAGGGGAACGCTTTATCCCTTAATATGAGACTTTCTGATGCGAATCCAATATATTGCAGGATTGGAAACCAAAAAAGAAAGAGCTGCTTCAACAATATCGGCTATTACAGGGACAACCAGCAACTAACTGCTTTTTGAAAAACATTTTAAAAATAATCCTAGTCTTACAACCGTCACGGAGTTTGAAGTACGACAGTCCATAAACATAATTCATTATTTTTTGGCTACGAAATTCGACATTTAAAAATAATATACACATATTTAAAATTAAGTAAACTATATTATTGACTGGATCGTCTTTTTTATTTAACACCTAAAAGCATTTAGGATATAGTAATAAAAAGTCATAGTTTAAGACATGCTTGATTTTTCAACTAGAAGTACTACTACGTCTCAAAAAGAATAGCAGTGTCTGGTGTATTAAGCCGACATATACTTTCGGTGTAAATTAGATACTGATTTCTTAATTGTTTTGAAATAACAATTACATTATCAGAAATGTTTCAGTATCAGCACCGTATAATATGTTAGGTTAAAACGGCCCAAAAATACTTTTAATATAGTATGATATTGTCCGATTTGAGCCAAATCTGCAAGGTTTTCCCCAGAAGGCCTCACACCATTAACAATATCCAACTCCTTATAAGTAATTTTTTTTACTTTCCATGTGAGACTTTGTTCACACACCCAACAATTTTCCCCTTGAACGAAGTTCTACATGATTCATCATCATTCACGAGCTAATTTGCAGATTAACTTGTGCGCAAACTACATAATCCGAGTATTTATCGTCACTGAAGTCTAGAGAGAGGCTATGCATACGTCTTTGAAGCTACAGGTAAAGGTTGTAAACCAGCCTATAGACGGGCGAAGCCACTAATCCGGGCCTTACGTTATCACTCCATCATCGCTATATTTGTCTCGCCAAACCATTGACTCTGATACTAGTCGCTATAATCGAAATAATCATCTGCTATGCGAAAGCTGATAAAATAAACATTGACAACGATTGCAACGACCCTAAACTCGTGATGGCTCCTATCGATGATACTAGGCCAGCCAACTCTCACAATACTTCCATAAATCATTCAAAGATATACTAAAAGCCTTTTCCTAACAAGATTTTTCATAAAAGAAAACAAGAGTTGAACTCAATATAGAATTACTGAACGGAAGCCCCCAAACATCAGGGCGTCATTAAGTCATGAGCATCTAATAGAATTGGTCCGACAATAACAAGATTTAACATAGTCTAAAATCCAAAATACAACTCAAGAGAGATAGGGAAGAAGAAAAGCAAGGTTGCGACGCCGGACAGCTAACTCCCAATTCCCTATCTCCAGACTGCTACGAAGACTATGAACAACCTCCCCGATCAACTACTCCTGGATCTGCATACGAGGCGCAGGGAGTAATGTGAGTACACCAACTTAGTAAGTAACAGAAATAAATAGGGAACTGAGAAGTAGTGACGAGCTATGCAAATACAGTTCATTTCATAAAGTTCATGTAACGACCCGACTGGTCGTTTTTCTTTCTAGAACCCCGTTCCCCCAAATAATACTCCCCGTACTTGCTTTTACTGATTTATGACTTGCGGGGATGGTTAGTTCGGGATTTGGAAGAGTTTGGGTTGAAATCGAAACACTTGGTTCCTTAAGGTTGGCCTGAAAGGCCAAGCTTGACTTTGGTCAACATTTTGAGTAAACGACCTCGGAATCGAGATTTGACAGTTCCAATAGGTTCGTATGATGATTTCGGACGTGGGTGTATGTTCGGATGACCCGGAAGCGTTTTGGCACATAATAGTGAAAGTTGGTTCTTGAAGGTTTTTGGAAGTTCTTAAAAATAAAAATTTGGTTTAGAGCGGGTTTTGATGATATCGAGGTCCAAACAGGATTCCGAGACGAGGAATAGTTTCGTAATGTCATTAAGACTTGCACGCAAAATTTGATGTCAATCAGAGTTGTGTAAGTGTATTTCATCACATTGGAAGTAAATTGAAGAACTTGAAGTTCATAAGTTTGAATCAATTGGTTTTAAGGTGTGATTCCTAGTTTTAACGTTCTTTCCGGCGTTTTGAGGGTTCGAGCGAATCCGTTTTATCATTACAAACTTGTGGGTGTGTTCGGGCGGGGCCCCGGGGGCCCCGAGCGTCAATCGGACGAGGTTGGGACCAAGTTGGAAATTTTAGGCAAGAGCTGAGTGCCCAACTTCTGTCATAACCGCACCTGCGGTTGGTCAACGGCAGATGCGAGCTCGCAGGTGCGGGCCTTGACTCGCAGATGCGACCAAGGGTGGCTAGCCCAGAAACCGCAGAAGCGACCCTCTCTCCGCAGAAGTGGTTGGCGTTTCGCAGAAGCGGACCATTGTCCGCAGATGCGGTGGGCGCAGGTGTGTCCCAGGACCGCAGATGCGGAAATCACTGAAGGCAGTAGCCTTCATTTTATACGGGCCTTAGACGTTTGTGGCTTATTTCACACCATTGTTGGGTGATTTTTGAGCTTCTTGAGAGAGGTTTTTCACCAAGCTTTTGGAGGTAAGTAATTCATACTATATGTGAGTTAAATACTTGAATTTTGGGTAGATTAACATGTAAATATTAGTGAAAATCATGGGATTAGAGTAAAACCTAGGTTTTTGATAAAAACAAGATTTAACCATGAAATTCATTATGAACTAAAGTAAAAATCATATATTCTTGATCCTTAGGTTATGGGTAACAACTTCCTTCGAAAATTTTCGGAATCCGGGCACGTGGGCCCGGGGGTGAATTTTAGGAATCTTGCCTTTGGGGTTGGATAATCACTTTATTAGCTAGAATATGAACTCGTAAACCTATAATGATAATGATTGGGTTTTACACTATTTGAATAGTTTCGGATTGTGCGGCTCCGATTTGAGGATTTGAGCGCATTCTTGAGTTGGGAGTAGGCTTGAAATGAGGTGAGTCTCTTTTCTAACCTTGTAAGAGGGAAATTTTCCCACAGGTGAACTTAATTAATATGTGGTTTTTTGTGGGGGCTACGTACATACGAAGTGACGAGAGTCCATACGTAGCTACTATTTTTGTTATTGTCCGGGTGGTTCTAGGTTTACACCATGCTTTGTGGACACTACTATTTGATTTTGTGTGCTAATTGTATGAAAGTAATGAAGTTGAAGAAAATCTAAGGATTTAAATGCTTCAAGAGAATTGTCTTCATTTTTGAAAAAGAATCAAAGAAGTGTTGTGTTTTAAATGATGAAAATTATGTTTGACCGTGTCGCACGTATGATTCACGAGCGGGGTTATGCTTTTACCGCGTTGCATATATGATTCGCGGGCGGGGTTAATAGATGCATCTATGGTTTGCGCCGTTTGACCCTCGGCAGTGCACAATTTACTTTTATGTTGGATCGGGCCGAACGTCCTCGGTGGTAATTGTGTGTGACAATAGAATGGGAACTCTTTGTAGTTGTATGTTTCATTGCTTGATATGCCACTTGTTTTAAATAAAGAAAGTGTCTTACTTTCTTAAATATGATGGAGAAAATTCCTCGGTTACTGTTCTGGTTTGAGCTTGACTATTATCTACATACATTATGCTTTAAGAATTGAAACTTCACATTATTACATTGTTGGCCCTAGTAAGTGTCGGAGTCGATCCCTCGTCACTATTTCTGCGAGGTTAGGCGAGATACTTACTGGGTACATATTTTTATGTACTCACGCTACACTTCTGTACTTGATTGTACAGGCTTCGAGGCAGGTTCATCTGGCCATCAGTTAGGCGCGTAGATTGGACACCTCAGCTTGAGACTTTTCAGCGAGCTGCCCTTTTGAGTCGTTCTGCAGCAGCTGGAGTCTCTCTATGTCTTTACTTCCTGTCTATTTCCTTTCCGGACAGTAGGATGGTATGATTTTGTATATTCTACTAGATTGCCCACATACTTGTGATACCAGGTCTTGACACACACATTGGTAGACTTATGATTTTTGGTTTACTATCATGAATTAAGTTTGAATTTATTATTTCCTTCTATTTATGCTTAAGTTTCAAACTCCCAAATTCTTTATCAATAAGGAAAGGTTTTCACGTACTAACTATTTAAAAGAGGATTCACTAGTTGATTAGTGTTGGCTTGCCTAACAACGGTGTTTGGCGCCATCACGATCTAATATGAAATTTGGTTCGTGACAACATGGTATCAGAGCACTAGGTTCACGTAGGTCTCACAAGTTATAGGCAAACCTGGTAGAGACTTGCGGATCGGTACGGAGTCGTCTGTACTTATCTTCGAGAGGCTATAGGGTGTTAGGAGTTGATGGTATACTAAACTTCCTCCTTCTATTCTCTCACAGATTGTGAGGACGCGTACGGCGGGCGTTCCATACCTGGGAGGAGCTGCTCCCCCCATTGCTATAGGTC